CTCGCAAGTTACACAGTAACCACGCTCATTCTAGAATGCTCATCAGCTCATTGTTGTACAATTTGTGTGACCTAAAATATGTTTGACTTGAATATATATGACGTGTCTGCACTATTCACCTACCCGAGTAAACGCCTGTATATATAAACACAGCGATCAATGCAGGCAGCAATATTTTTTTCTGTAAGATTAAAAAAAAACAAAATGTGATTGATGAACACACAACACTACACTTTCATAAACAGCTAAGATTAAAACACCAGAAAGCCTAAATACCCGGTCTCTCCCTGTCTACTATCTTCCATTCGCCCCATACACTCCTCATCTCTAGATTATGTTTACATCTTATTTTGCATTAAATGAACGAAAAAGTACACCTTTTATTACTTGGTTACCCTTTTTGTCAACAGAACATAAATTCATTCAGAAAAATTAAAAATTATTTTTAACTCAATTTTGAAAATGTCAATAGTTAAATGATATTGATATTTAAAATTACTTACCTTGACCATTGTCTCGATACTATATTTCAAATTAGTCCAATTACAAACATTTTTATAATATTTTTATTAAAACGTTTTCTGGATGTTTTGTGTAGTACCTATATACAACTGAAATATGTCAGTATTTGTCTATAAAGGTGACAAATTATTTATTCTGCTAGTAAGCCTTATTGACAAAGTATACTATTTACAATATCGCTGTTTTAGACAAATTTACTTGCTGATTAATATATACGGTTTTATCTTAAAGAAATAGATAATATTTCAGTCGGATTAATATTGTTCAGTAGGAAAGGGAGATAATCATTAACCATAGAGATGTCGAAGTTTCCCTCGTGTCACTTCGAATTCACCTCGAACGCTTTCTTACACTAGTTCATTACACTAATTCTAGTAAGAGCATGATAGATTCTGAATTTTGGAATTTTGGACATATTCTAATAATTCTTTGAATGATCTAAAACGAAATGAAATGGGGTTTAACGTATTACTTTTATGCACCGACTTGGTTAATGAAGACGGGCATACCCCAATCAGTATGCTGTGAGGAAAATGTTGCACGGGGAGCGGTGCCACTCTTTTTGTGAATTCCAACTGCCATGGTTCCTTTTCCGTGTAAGTCAGCGTTTATACGGGACTTCGGTCATGCGCCCCCGACTCCATCCTAGAGTACTGAAAACGGGATAGTCCGGTTAATCTACGTTAAATTTAGGGCAAGATTTCTTGGTTCAGTTATGTTTGTGGGATCATCCCCTACAACATATCCAAAGTTCTCTGATTTTCGGTCCGGGAAAGGGCCTAATTTGAATAAATTCAAAATGGCCACCAAATGTATCGTTTGGAGTCGTACGTAACTAACGTACGGAAATTAAATGGTAGCTGGCTTTTTTTTTTCGCACGTATACAGTGAATGGCCATTTTGCTCAGTAATCCCAGCCAGAATTTGGCTATTTTTTTAAAATTGCGTTAAAGTTTTAAATTCTTGTTTAGAACTGAAATAAATAAACTTTTAGTCAATCCCCACGCTAAAAACATTAACAGAATTGATTGTGTATATCTAAAATAGACACGACCGAAGCACAAAATAGTGCCAATATGCCGACGTCAAATCTAGAGTTGTAGATGATGTTATTTTTGTGAAAAATCATTTGAAGAAGCGATAAGACGTTCTGTACGGATTATACAGTCCTAAAGGCTGGAAGAAGGCTATTGTTTACAATGTAACATTATGTCTTGTAATGTTGATAATGATCATAATGATGGTGTTAACTTGTTTGTTGATGTGACCTCATGACCTGTGACGTTTAGATAACGTCATATGGATATCATGGCTATTCACTGTGCCAGAGTCACTTCTCTGCAGGTAGGGTGAGTCTGTCGTTCAGATTGCTTTGGAGTCTCATAAATCCCTTAATATTCAGTTTTCGCCGTATAAATTTATTACAGATAGAAACATGACCCCTACAAGTTATGGGAATATCTTGTTAGAAAGGGTCTAATTTACATAAATTCAAAATGGCCGCCAAATGTACCTTTCGAGTCTCATAACTCCTTTGAAGATGCATTATGGGAGATTAGATAAAGAGCTGACAGTTCTGACTATAATAGTTACAAACATATTTAATGTAAAGGGAATTTACTGAAAATTTCAGCCAAATTGGTCCACTATGAACCGAGATTGTAGCGATTGAATTTTCGGCCTAGCCTCGATCATCATTACTATAATGAACTTTCTCGGCCAATGCAGGGATCGAACACGCGACCTCACGGCTAGCGAGCCAGCCTCTTCCCCCCTTAGCCACCGTGGCATCATCATGAATGGAAGTCGAACAGCAAATCGGAACCTAATCCAATAAACATCGCAGGCTAGCCATGACATCGAGAGTTGATTATGGTCTGGATAAGTTAATTAATGTCTAATTAATTATTTTAGAGAACATTTCAGGCCCGAAGAAAGACCAGTAATAGACAGAGTTAGCTCTTGCATAATGTATGTTTAATATGGAGTATGTTTAACATGACGTCATAATGTCTTATTCAGTATAGCTCATACCCAGATGGTCGACCCATTACTAGATGCTGTTAGGTAATGTTGTGACAATAACACCTATCGGTAGCTGATTGGCTAACGTTTCTAGCCAATCGGAGTATAGTACTTTTCGCGGTTGGGCATCTGCATTCAGTTAAACATGGGCAACTGACTTGGACAACTAGTTGCTTTGAGTTGTAAGATGCTTGGGTCGACCTTTTTCAGTTGCATTCAATTGAAGTCAGCTGCACCCATCTGAGGGTTTAAGATAGATGTGGTTTGATTATTAGATCTTCTTTAGGTCAAAGCCCAGCTTCAACGGAGCGGGGCCCCTACCGCTAGAAAAAGATTATTTTATATCCTTTGGAATGGCACGCATGACCTTTTGAATGTCACGCATGCGTAACATACAACCAAATGGTTTGCAACACTATATGAGCGATCGCGATCGCCTACGTCACGGGTTTCGGCCAATCACAGACAAGCTTGAGGGATAGCGGACTCACCCAGTCTCCACCAATCGCGACTCTAGACCGACGAGTGGGACATTCATCTGGAATTTAATAGTTTTTTTTCTCGTTTTACCGTGAACCGCGGCGCCCTGGTCCCGGGCCCATTTGGCCCATGCCTAAGCTGGGCTATGCTTTATATATAGGGATGATTGTGAATAAATGACCCGAATTTAAAAAATAAAGCAAAGGAGCGGAGTTTAACGTCTCGTCAGTACCGAACTTCGAGACTAACCCACGGTCTCAAAATAATAGAGAGAGAGAGAGAGAAATGGAGTTTAACGTCCACTCGACACAAACTAGGTCATTTCGGGACTAACATATGGTTTAATTTTATTTCAATAATTCGCTTGCGCGTAGGGGTCTTTAGCAGTGGGAGGAAACCGGAGGATCCGGAGAAAACCCACGAGGTTGGACAGGCGACCCTACTCCTTGTCACGTACAACCGGGGATTCGAAACCACACCAGTTGACTCAATGACGGACTTTATGATACAGCGTGCACACGCTAACCATTCAGCCATCCAACCCCCCTCTCAAAATAATCATATGTTACTCTTTTTGTAAGATCATGTATGTCTGGACATATCTCTGGATATCGTTGTTTCCACCAAGTATTTTTCTAATTCCGACTGTTATTTGCACGCATTTGCACCTCGTACCATGAGAAAGACCAGACAGCACTGGTTTATTAAATATCCCGAGATTATTTTCAGTTTACCAGTCGAACCCAGGGATATTTTAGACGAGAATCTAGTGCCGGTACGACCCCCATTTGACAACAACGAGTTCAATATATATATAAATTTTCAGATTTTGATAACAATTAAATGTAACATTTAAAAGTACATAGACCAAATCTTTGACCATAAATATCTCGTATGGGGGAAGAGCTATAATCATAATTTCACCTGGAATCAAACTGTAACTATCGGACCACACGTAGTTTGTTTGTCTACCAAGATCTCAGCATCCAATGTGAGAGGAGTCATGAAATTCTTTGTTTTTAACGGAAATTAAGTTTTATTTTCAAATGTAATGTCATAATATACAAATTCCAGTATAATAAAGAAAAGCTGATTATTATTGTTATATATACAAAACATTTACATGTACATCAATTTGATAATGTCGGTTTATATTTGAACAAACGGTTGCCATGCAAGATAAAATCCAGGAGTAAATTGACAATAAGTAGCTGCAATTTTTATAATGCCTGGGAGGGGGGGGGGGGGGGTACCACAAAATCTCTGAAGTGTAAGGATTTGGAAAGATAAATAATATCTGGGTTATGAGGGGGATTTTGCCCGGACAGCAGCACTACGGCCTACTCTTATATCGTATTCCAACAGCCAAGGGATTTTTTTACGTGTACGCCAGTGTGTAACGGGACCTTGTTTTTCGTCCCATCTGGACGACTATACGTTGTCCCGTGCCAGGCCCTCTGTTCTGTACCACTGATAAGGTTAAACCATGCAGGAAAATCTGGATGAACTTTCTTGGTCCACCTGACATCCAGGTTAGCGAGCCAACGCCTTACCCACCTAGCCACCGTGGATCCCAGGTTACCAAAAGGGGCTGATTTTATACATGCCTATACGAATCAACTAAAAGACATTTTCTATCACAAAACTGATCCAAGCTAAAAGACCTATAAAATGATGGTAATTACTTTAAATAAATAAGTTTATATTTGATAAATATCAATTCAAAAGAGCAAATGAAATCTCTGTATCTCTGTAGAAAGTGTGTCATTAATACTTTTCAGATACTATCAAATTATTCGGTGAATTCCCCACCCTATTTGGATCAATGAAATACATCCACGTCACATTCTATTTATATCCCAATAATCTGCCATCCGCATGACGTTTATAGGTATCAATTTTTCGGTGAATTCCCCGCCCTATTTAGATCAATGAAATACATTCACGTCACGTTCTATTTATATCCCAATAATCGTCCATAGTCATGACGTTTTATGCTATGGATTGTACATGTACTATATTAATTTTTATACTCCAGGTTATAGCGGAATTCAAGCCATACAGGTGTGTCAAGAATACAGGTGACTATAAGCTAACAAGCCAACAGTGAGGCTGATGTCCCCCGCCGAAATAGGAAAATAATTAGAGGACACATATAAATTTATCACAAATTATCTTTTACAAAGTATTGAACAATCAAACAGTATATCTTTACTTATAGTCTAACAATCAAAGTAGGAGAGTTATTGTTTTCCAAAGTCTCGACCAATCAAATTGCGTATCGCTCTGCTTACCCTGAGCAGAAAATGCTCATTATCAAACTTAGTCAAGGTATTACTGTAATGAAACTATACACCAAGTTTCATCAATCTCACTTAATTAGAACTAAAGTTATCGTGTCCCAAAGCATCAACCAATCAAATTGCTTATCTCTGCTTACCCTAAGCGGAAAATGCTCATCTTCGAACTCCATCAAGGCATTGACCTAATCAACACATACACCAAGTTTGAACATTCTAGCTCAATTAGGAAGAGAGTTATCGTGCCCCAAAGTATCAACCAATCAAATTGCTTATCTCTGCTTACCCTAAGCGGAAAATGCTCATCTTCGAACTCCATCAAGGCATTGACCTAATAAACACATACACCAAGTTTGAACATTCTAGCTCAATTAAAAGTTATCGTGTCCCAAAGCATCAACCAATCAAATTGCTTATCTCTGCTTACCCTAAGCGGAAAATGCTCATCTTCGAACTCCATCAAGGCATTGACCTAATCAACACATACACCAAGTTTGAACATTCTAGCCCAATTAGGAAGAAAGTTATCGTGTCCCAAAGCATCAACCAATCAAATTGCTTATCTCTGCTTACCCTAAGCGGAAAATGCTCATCTTCGAACTCCATCAAGGCATTGACCTAATAAACACATACACCAAGTTTGAACATTCTAGCTCAATTAGGAAGAGAGTTATTGTGTCCCAAAAAGTGTGACGGACAGACAGACAGACAGACAGACAGACGGACGAACCCATTTTAATAGTCCCCTGCTTTCTTCGAAAGGCGGGGGACAATTACAAGTTATCCTATTTTACTGTTATTTAAAAGGCTTTTTTTTTATCGAACCATAGTCTCGTCGATTGGGATAGATCTGCAAATATCCAACAATCATCACAGGTGAAAGAAACACGTTCGAGTCTTGATTACATCGCGATTATTCTCACATGAGAATAGACTGTATCCCAGCTTTGATTATTTGATTATTTGCGATCTTTACAACTTGACTGATGGAAAGCAATCTAGTTCGTGTCGTAAATTGATTCTTTATGGTTACAGTTAAATAGATTTAATTGCTACCCACACAAAACTCAGAACAATTTAAAACATGGTTTATTTTCTGGAACCGGGCTACGATTCCCTTTTCGCCTTGAAATGTACGCACTTTCAGAGAGAGAGCGAGAGAGAGAGAGGGGGAGAGAGAGAGAAACTAGGTCATTTCGGGATTAACATATGGTCCAATTTTATTTCAATAATTCGCTTGCGCTTATGGGTCTTTAGCAGTGAGGGAAACAGGCGGACCAAGAGAAAACCCACGAGATTGGACAGGCGACCCTACTCCTTGTCACGTACAACCGTCACGTACAACCGGGGAATCGAAACCACGCCAGCTGGAATCAATGACAGGCCTTATGATGCAGCGCGCACACGCTAACAATTCGGCCATCCACTCCCCGTACGCAGTTTTGAATAAAAGTATTCATATTACTGGCCTATTTGGCAGGCAATATACTGGCTTTATTACTTTCCTCTTATTTGGGACGATATTTTCAAAAGTCATGAACTCACTCACAATGCGTGCTAGTGCATACGAATTATCAAGTTGCGAACACGCTGTTTTTTTTTTTATTATTCTCTTATATTTACAAATTTGACAATTATTAACTTATTTTACCTTTCATCTTGTTTTACAGATAATATTTAAATTGCCTAAATGTTTAGAAAATTGCGAAGACGTTTTCGCCGGAAACCAAACCAGACTGAGCAAACGTAAGTCATTATAATGTGAGGATGATCTCCTTTCATCTACTTTCCGATTTCTAATTTTCAACTATAAAAAACGAAAGGAAATAGGATCTGTGTTTTTAATCCGATTGATCATTTTCAAATTTGAATATTCTACATGTAATTATTTATTGAATAGATCTGTAACTAAAGATAGGGTTGTTGGATGGCTGAATGGTTAGCGTGTGCGCGCTGTATCATTGGGTCGCCTGTCCAACCTCGTGGGTTTTCTCGGGGTTCTCCGGTTTCCTCCCATTGCTAAAGTCCCTTACGCGCATGCAAATTATTGAAATAAAATTAAAACATGTGTTAGTCCTGAAATGAACTAGTTTGAGTCGAGTGGACGTTAACCCTCTCTCTCTCTCTCTCTCTCTTTATTGCTGATGGAAGCTTTCGAATGAGCTGCAATAGATGACTTTATTTATCAATATTTTATCAATAGAGTTATCAATATCAGTGTGCACCATATTCAGAGAGATTTCATTTGATATATATTTCAGATCTCCAAGAAGTCTTTGTAATGCCGCTTGTCACCGTAGCTTAATGCAAGGTGGATTTCCAGCGTTTAAAATCGAGTTTAAAAAACTTCTACGGTTATACCAACCAGACAACATAACAGACAACAGATTTATACGAACAGTTGTTTACGCTTGTGAACATACCTATCAGACTCAAAACTTTGATGATTTCAAATGGCTAGTACTCAAAATCAATAACCTCGATGGATTAATGAAATTATTTCATGAATTGTGTGAACTTGGTATAACAGTTTATTGTGAATATATATTATCTATATACAGTCAATTTCAATATCGTGATATTTCTGACGTAGTTTATTACGCAGTGGAATCGTGCGATGACGTATGTATATTGTATTTCGTGTGTGAATTATCTATTAATAAACCAGAATTGGGTATCGATATTAACAAACGATCTGGTGCCGATAATTTTACACCTTTTATGAAAACTATCAAGAATAACAAATATAAGCACTGTTTAGTTTTAATTGAGTATGGGTGTGAAGTGAAATTGTTGAGGGAAAATGAAAAACCAATTTTCTCATGGGAGGAACTATTCCCTTGTTTTTTTGGGCCAAACCTCAATTACCAACAAAGATTTGAAAAGGCTGGTGTACGTTATCTGCAAATGTTTATTGACTCCGGAACAGATTTAGGAATAGGCGATATAAATGGGAATACAATGTTGGAATTAGCTCTTGAAAAACAGGTGTTGGGGTTGGCGATCTTTCTATTACGTAACAATTTTCCTATAACTGATAAGTGTTTTGTTATTCTCAATAAATATTACTTGCCTAAAAAAACAGAAGACTATAATGGTGGTAAATATATAGAATTCCAAAAACTATACATAATATACTTGGTATCATTGTTCAGCCTTAAGTTAAACTTTGTCAATGGATTGGATGCTGTTCTATGTTGTACGTATAGGTCAGTACATTCAATTATAGGCATGGATCGCTTTATTGAAGAATTCAACAGTTTACCAAGTTTGTTCAGTAGCATGACTCTTAAAGAGCGATGTAGATTAAAAAGACGTTCTACTTTGGGAGTTCGTGTTAATTTCGAAGCACCAATGGAGAAATTGGAGTTACCAAGATGTCTTTTGGAATATATTTTAAATAACGGCTGGGATGATTTGTCCAAACGCTTAAAGACCCGCAAGATGGTTTTCTGAAGTGAGAGTTTTACATCATTACTCTTACCACGAGTAACTGGGTGAAGTGGATATTTAATGTGTGTCAAATTTGTATAATATTTTGGTCGTTTAATCATATCTTATTGTGGGGGATATATCGACTATAGTAATTACAACTCAAAGATCATACGAAAGTTACGCTGTATGTCTAGAATTAGCTCGGCTTTAGAATAGTACATTGAAGACTACGAGGTTCTTAGTGACCGAGACTAGGAGCTAATTGACCGACATAATTCAACGATTTTATTCGAAAACCCTATGTATAGTTAGGGAGTTTTGAGGAGTGTTTATTCAGCTTCGTAGAAAACACTTAAGGGTATAGAGTCAACTATTTTAGGGTAGATGTCCATTATAAAATACCTTTAAAGAATAAATCTAATAAACAAAGTAAGGCACATATTAGTTCTCCGTGGTTACTTTTATTCTCAACTGGGTGGAATGGAATCCTTTTAGGTCTTTCAGAAATAATTTAAGATGAATCAGAATGGCTGGAGTTTTCAGATGCTGAGACTGAATATACTGAACAGTAAGAGAAACGTCGCACTGAATTAGACAATAAAAGATCTTTATTTTGAGCTTTGACATTTATAACAAAATTCATTTTACAATAATTCAAACGAATAAATTGAGTTTTTGGCGGTGATTACAATGTTTTGGAATGTCCCAAGAACAGTTCAGACACAGTTTCAATTCACGTAACGCCAATAGTGGATATGGCCCCCACGAGCGTTCATGGTAGAAACACATCTCCTATATTTCTAATGGGTTGAAATGAAATGGGATTTAAGGCCTGCTTTTCTGCACCTCAGGGAGATTTTGCCCGGATAGTGGCTCTATACGGTCTACTCTTGTTTGAATTCCAACCACCAAGGGTTATTTACGTGCACGTCAATGTGTACCTCGGTTTGTCGTCCAACCCGAACTACTATAGTCGTTCGGTATGCACGTAAGCAAACCCTTAACAGTTAGCATTCGAACTAAAAGTAGGCCACAGCATCGAAGTATGAGTACAATTTCCGTACTAGCGTATGTCCGTCTTCATTAGTCTAGTGGGTGCCGTAAAGTAGGACGTTAAACCCCAGTTGATTTCCTTTTTATTTTGTGTTTCATCGTTTATTGTTTATTTGAATCATTTTAAGCCCGACTTTAGCTGCAGCAAAATTCGTTTCTCATTTGGTCAATCTGTGTTAAAATATCCCGACGGCTATGCAAATGTTCCTTAAAATCCAATAAAAATCCTATACCAGAGAGGAGGTGACACCTCCCACCTCCTCATAGGGTTAAGTAGGGTGAGATAAATCAAACACAACACCACGAGGAATATACAATAGGTTTATAGTATACAAACTATAGCCGTAGGTCATAATCCATGAGATATCTAAAAGAACGCATTAGTGGGATGGCGACGCATGGTGGTGTTTCAACAGCCTCTTTCCATTTCCCATGAATACAGTCTGACCGTTCTGATAAATCTGATCCAGTCAACATATAGAGCGGACGAACTTGCATTTTATCATTCACAATAAATTCCAAAAGCACAGAAGGCAAACCCAGACTCTTCATTTTTGATTCTGAATGAATTTGGAAACCTAGAGCAGAACGTATAGTTAATCTACATCGTTCTTTAAGAGTCATTTGACGGTGATGCTGACACAAAGACTTGAACTCGTCAATCGGTGTCTCCATCATTTCCTGAAGGCTTACAATCTGAGTTTTATTGGTATGTTCCACAAAGCCCACATTGCCACTGTTAAATGCTACCCAGTATATAATGTTAACATATGCAGGAACACTTTTAACCAGTGATTCATAGGTAAGTTTAACCCATTCGCTTTTAAGCACAGCATAGTGCTCGTTCAAAATAGCAATACACTTATCAGTTATAGGAAAGTTATTAAAAAGTAAAAATCTTGAACGGCTAAAGTCTAACTTTATCAGGGCTAATTCAAGTAAAGAGTGGCCATTTATGTCTGGCATCCCTAAATCTATTCCTGAATCAATCAGAACCTGAACTAATCTAGTCATAATGGTTTCATGATATCTACCTTCTGTTAAAATAGGAAATAGTTTATCCCAAGAAAAACGTGACTGTTTTTTTGCTGCGCATAATTTTAGGTCACATCCATACTTCATTAAGATTAAAACTTGATCGTGCTTGTATTTTGATATCGCGTTCATGAAAGGTGTAAAACCATCATCATCTCGTTTGTTAATATCAATCCCAAACTCTGCCTTTTTAACTGATAAATCACACAAAAATTCGAGAGTCTTTGGTGAAAGACACGACTGAATGGCAAATTGGACCACATTAGAAATATCATTATCTTGGCTGTAAACTGATAGTATACATTCACAACAAACACTCAAGTTTATTTCAAACAATTCGTTATCAAGGGGAATATGACACAATGTTTGAAACAATGTAAGAATTGCAACAGGATCTTTGATTGTGGATACTAACCATTTGAAGTCATCAAAGTTTTGAGTTTTGTATATATATTTATAAGAACAAATTTTTGTTAGACTGAGCTGCCATTTAGCTATGTCATCGGTTTGGTTTAGTGAAATAAGCTTGAGGAACATTTCTTTAAACGAAAGGAAATCTACATTTTCCATAAGGCTGTTTTGACACTTCCGATATAGCTTTTTGGCAGAGTGTCTTCGGCTTGATTTACTTTGAACAAAGGATTTGAGTCTTCTGAACATACTGGATGAAGATAATCTAAAAGTATAAAGAGAAAAATTCAATAATATTACACTACAAAAAGAGAATAAAAATACACACCAGTTCTTTGTATAGTAATCTAAATGATTAAATCCAAAATCCTAGGTTAGATGCAAATTCTCTCTCTCTTTCTCTCTCTCTCTATCTCTCTCTCTCTCAAAGCTAGTGTCCCCTACCTCGACCACGATTACTACCCGGTCTTGACTAATATTTATGGGAACACTATAATTGGTGACACACGAATCGAATGGTAACGTCACGATAAGGCGAAATAGGGGCGAGGAAGCAATATCTTCTGGGACTATTCTGGTAAAATACTCTACAGACTGAAGTTTTTAATCAATTCTTATATCCTTCATCTATTTGTTGACTGGTTGCTGTAAAGGGAATATGCTGAACATGTCAGTCAAATTGCTCCACTTTGAACCGAGAAACTATCGATTGAATTTTAGGACTAGCCTCGATCATCATTACTAAAGCCGGTACGATAAAAACATAGTCTCGATTATGCAGATCGGATTCAGCAGATCGGATTCAAATCCAGTGGAAATCCAACACATAAGATGGCATCGAGAGTTGATTAAGGTCTTTTCATGTTAATAAATATCTAATTAATAGTTATATAACATTTCAGGCATAAAGAAAACCCTACAGTAGACAGATTTAGCTCTTGCATAATGTATGTCTAAGTGTAAATAGCTGTACGTTTTTAATAAATTGATTGCAATGTTTACATTATGCATTATGTATATTCATGATGAAAATTTCGGATAAAGATTCATATTATCATAAAAGGTTTAATTAAATGTGAAATACTTCAACTTGTTTCCAATTACATATCAGATAAAAACAACATGTTTGATAGACTGGAAAACTTTCATTCTAATGTTTTATCCCACTACTGGTATCCCACTAGGTTCTGTACTTAGACCGTTGTTTTTTCTTATCTATATAAATGATACATATGAACGTCTAATCAGTACCATTATATTATTTAAAGATATACGTCAACTGTTTCTATTTATCTATCAACTATTAACCAAGAGTCTAAAATTAAGAAAACATACCTTTTCCACAGGTTTTTGTAGGGTATACAGTAGTACACAAACAATATTCTATATGTAGACTCGCACTGATCATATTGCTAATGTGTTATAAATATATAATGGCGTCTTCATAGACTATATGAATAGTAACTGACGGTGTTTATTAGATATAGTTTACGACATTCAATATCTACAACAACCACCCTATTCAAATGTAATCATGCATATACTGGAAAGTATTCATGTCGTTATTGTTCTTCTTTTGTGCTGCAGTATACTTCAATGTTATCAACTAATATTTAAGCAATACTGTAATACAGTGTATTCTAGAAATTTGTCACATTAAGGATCAATTTATTTAGATCAATGAAATTAATATCTCAATAATCATTCATATACTCATGGGTTACACGATGTGTCTCCCTTGCTTTATATGAGATATATTGGAAATTATTATTTTAGCTGAATTCAGATCACACACAGATAAGATGGACAGGTGTTTTGATGTTTTTACAAAATCGAGAAGACTTTCCAACGGTGACTAAGTGGGTAAGACGCTGGCTGTTGAGATTTTCCCCGGCGTGCTTCCTCCTTGTCAATGATGCAGGGCGGAGGGTCTGACAAGGACAGTGTCTAGTCGTTCGGATGGGACGAAAACCGATGTCCCGTGTACATTGGCGTGCACGTAAAAGATCCCTTGACAGTCTTTCGTTTGATTAGAGCTAATTCCACTAAGCAATGCTTTAATGGAAGCAAATTTCCGTCCAAATTATGACTGGTCAATAGTCCGATTAACAAACAATAGCTAACTGCGTAAGAACATGATTACGCTTTTGACAAAGCTCCAAATTGGATCAAATATGTTTACATAACGTTATGCCCAATTAACCAGTGCATAGCAGAATATTGCAGAAAAGCTAATTGCGTGACAAACGAGACTATCAACACATATGCAATGTAAACAATACTGTATGAAGAGGAACAAGACTTTCGTCGTTTTTAATACCTAAATCACCGTCCAAAGTTTTAGAGAAGACCCTAGATTAAACGAAGGGATGTCATGTAGCTCAAGTATCAGAAGACAATCCAGCAATGGGCAGAGAGACCATTGCTTCGGGAATATGACTGTATGGCGTATGCCCGTCTTCATTAGCCCAGTTCGGAGCAGAACAGTAGGACGTTGAAATTCATTTTATTTCATTTTCCAACTAGAAGCAAAACAGGCATGATAAAAAGTAAGTCATTATAGAGAAAGAACGCTTCCCTTTGATCTTACTCCCGATTTATATAATAGATGATTTTATTAACATCGAAGTACAATTTTTAAAACATTGTAGTTAAACGTGTGCATTATGCAAGAGCTAGATATACCTATTTCGGGTCTTTTTTTCTGAATTCTAATGTTACATAAATATTTAGACATTTATTTACATGACAAGTCCATTATGGATTCTCTAGATTATCTGCACAGTGAGTACAAGGTAGGCTCGCTAAACTAGAGATCCCTGACAAGGGACTAAATATAGTCGTTCGGGTGGCACAAAAAAAGAGGTCCTGTGTATACATTGGCGTGTATGTAAATGAACCGTTGACAGATTGAATTTGTCCGGGCAAACTTTCGCTCATAGCAAACTGCATGGACCGAGAAAATTCATCGGGATTTTCCAGTGTGGTTCCTCACTTGTCAGGGATGTAGAACGGAAGGCCTGGCAAAGGACTACGTATAGTCAAGCAGGTAAAAAAGAGGTCTCGTGTATACATTGGCGTGTACGTAAATGAATCCCTGGCAGTTTGAATTTGTCCGGGCAATATTTCCCTCTTACCTCACAGCATGGCGTATGCCTGTCTTCATTAGCCCAGTACTAGCAGAGTATTAGGACGTTAAATCCCATTCCATTTCATTCCAGCTGATGATATGGAATAGATTAGAACACCCTCACGATGTTATTGGTTAACGTGAAAATGAATGTCTTTCAATAAAAGTACTGACAATCGAGATTTCATTTATTGTCATAGCAACGACACTTGACAATCAGCTATTTCTTGTCAAACCTTCACAGACTCATTACTTCGCTTATAATACAGTACTTTGACTGGAATGTTCAATACAGTATATTCATTTTTCAGCACCTACTTTTGAACTATAGCGAGAACGGCTAATTCTTTTAAATATTAACTGATACCATTTGATATCTTTTTGCGGTGGCTAAGTGGATAAGACGCTGGATGGCTAGCCTGGAGGCCGGGTGTTTGATCCCTGCATTGGCCGAGAAAGTTCATCCAGATTTTCCGGCGTGGTTCCCCCTTGTCAGTGATGCAGGACGGGAGGGCCTGACAAGGACAGCTGTCTAATCATTTGGATGAGACGAAAAACCGAGGTCCCGTGTTCACATTGGCGTGCACGTAAAAAATCCCTTGACAGTTGGAATTCGATATAAGAGTAGGCCGTAGTGCCACTGTCCGGGCTAAATGTCCCTCATAGTACACCGTGTTGCGTATGCCCGTCTTCATTAGCCCAGTTCGGAGCAAAACAGTAGGACGTTAAAGCCATTTTATTTCATTTCATTTGATATCTTTTTCAGTTCCCCAAAAGGGCTGGCTGATGAAACTTGTCAGCGTAGCTTAATAAAGGATGGATTCCGGGCGTTAAGAAATCGAGTTTGAAGAACTTCTCCGGTTATACCGACCAGATAATATAGTAGATAATATCTTTGTATATATAGGAACAGTTGTTGAAGCTTGTGAATATATCCATAGGGTTCGATGCTGTGATGATTTCCAATGGCTGATATACATTGATATACAAAATCAATGACCCCGATGGATTACTGAAATTATTTCATGAAGTATGTGATTGAACTAACCGATGATACACTAAAATAAATGAAATGAAATGGGGCTTAGCGTCCTACTGTTCTGCTCTAACTGGCTTACAGTACATAAAGCTAACAAACAGCGGTATGTGGTTTCTAAAAACATCATGAACTCGACATTTTTTTAGATCCCCCCACAAACACCCTCACACACACACCCATGCCCACTGCAAGCGATATGTTGGTGACGTCATAGAAAGGGTTACGCCGGCATCCAAAACAGACCCTAGACCCCATGGCCAGAAAAGCATAGAGAACTAGTATTATTGATTTATATGTATTAATGCGCTGGGTGGCCGGGTGGCTGGGTGGCCTAACGCAGGCGCTTTCAGTCAGAAAACCAATCATTAAGTCCCCTCCCTCTCTCTCTCTCTCTCTCTCTCTCTCTCTCGTTAAACTATTGCTCGGTGAATTCCCCGCCCTATCCAGATCAATGAGATATATTTACGCCATGTTCTATTTATATAACAATAATCATTCATAGTCATGGGTAACACTATGTTTATCCCTTGCTGTGATATGACTTTAGTACTATACTAATTTGTATACCTCAAGTTTATAGCGGAATTCAGGTCTCACAAGATTTACAGGTGTGTAAAGAATACAGGTGACTATAAGCTAATCAGAAATTATATTATTTTACTGTTATTTATATCATGTTTGCTGTGCCTATGTATTGGGGTTGATCTGCAAACTAAGTTATAAGGGTAAGTCTTGACTGTCCGGTATTCAATTCTCGGAAGACAAACCACGCGCAAACTGAATTAGAAAATATTTCCACCAATCACCACAGGTGACACAAACATATTAGCGGTCTTGATTACGTCACAATGCTACTCACATGACATTACTGTGAAAGAAATGAAATGAAATGAAATGGGGTTTAACGCCCTACTGTTCTGCTCCTATACTGGGCTAATGAAGACGGACATACGCCATACAGTGTGCTATGAGGGAAATTTTGCCCGGGCAGCGGCACTATCGCCTACTCTTATATCGAATTCCAACTGCCAGGGGATCTTTTACGTGCATTCCAATATATACACGGGACCTCGTTTTTTCGTCTCATCCGAAGGACTAGACAGCTGTACTTGTCAGGCCCTCCGTTCTGCACCACTGACAAGGGGAAACCACGTCGGAAAATACTGTGAAAGAATTCGATTGTAATTTCGATTATTGAACATTGATTAATTGCTTCTAATCTTGCCAAACTCTTAACAACATGGCGGCTTGGTTACAATTGTAATCATATGTCCCATTCTATTCGTTTTTATATTTTAATGAAATTAATTGCTACCGAAGGCTTTGTCCTGCACCAAGCCCATAACACATTCATGGTCTGAAACGTGTCTACAATTCCGTTTCGCCTTGAAATATATTATTTATAAATCAAACTATTCATAGATCTGTCCTGATTGTGTTGTATCATATTGGGAGGTTTTAGTGCTTGAGCCAGAAAGTACTTGGTGCGTCTCAAGCTGTATTATCCTCGAGGCTTTTGGAAAAAGCCGAGAATTCAGTCCATGAAAACACTCACAATGCGTACGAATTATCAAGTTGTGGACACGCTATTTTTTTTATTATTATCTTATATTTACAAATTTGACCATTATTAACTCATTTTACCTTTCATCTTGTTTTACAGATAACATGTAAATTACAAAAATGTTTAGAAAATGGCGAAGGCGTTTTCGCAGAAACGCAAAACAGAATGAGCAAACGTAAGTCATTATGCAGGGTAGTTGTTCTCCTTTGGTCTACTTCCCGATTTCTTAAAATCATTTTCTTCAGTTCTACTTTTTATAAGCCAACATATCAATGTCAGCGAACTGCCAACCGATACTACAGAGTTCAGGGGTTTTTTTAAACTGATTTTGATCAATTTTCAGAAGTAAAACTTTCTGTCGATTTGGGGTGTTTTCGTAAAGTAGTTTCAGAGTTGTTGTTCCTGACTGATATGAACTGTTGATGAACGTATATGACCATACTCGTACTCAGATAAGTTCTTGAACAATTTTACATCGTCGGAAAGATTTCCGATTATCACTACGTGCTGCTGATTTATAAAGCCATGTTAACACTACAAGTTAAAATTACCATCAGATCAGATTCATATTATAAGTTGCATCGTTTATAGATATATTTCCTATGATATATATTTCAGATCTCCAAGAAGTCTTTGTAATGCTGCTTGTCACCGTGACTTAATACAATTTGGATTCCCAGCGTTTAAAATCGAGTTTGAAAAACTCCTTCGGTTATACCAACCAGACAATATAGCAGACGACAGATTTATACGAACAGTGGTTTGCGCTTGTGAACACACCTATCAGGCTCAAACTTTCGATGATTTCAAATGGCTAGTACTCAAAATCAATGATCCCGATGGATTAATGAAATTATTTCATGAATTGTGTGAATTTGGCTTAACAGTTTATTGTGAATATATATTATCTATATACAGTCAGTTTCAATATCGTGATATTTCTGACGTAGTTTATTACGCAGTTGAATCGTGCGATGACGTATGTATATTGTATTTCGTGTGTGAATTATCTATTAATAAACCAGAATTGGGTATCGATATTAACAAACGATCTGGTGCCGATAATTTTACACCTTTTATGAAAGCTATCAAGAATAACAAATATAAACATTTTTTAGTTTTAACTGAGTATGGATGTGAATTGAAATTGTTGAGGGAAAATGAAAAACCTGTTTTCTCATGGGGGGAACTATTCCCTTACTTGGTTGGACCAAAATGGAAGCATTTCTATTACCCACAAAGATTTGAAAAAGCTGGTGTACGTTATCTGCAAATATTGATTGACTCCGGAATAGATTTAGGAATAAACGATATAAATGGGAATACATTGTTGGAATTAGCACTTGAAAAACAGGTGTTGGAGTTGGCGATCTTTCTTTTACGTAACAATTTTCCTATTACTGATAAGTGTTTTGTTATTCTCAATAAATATTACTTGCCTGAAAAACCAGAAGACTTTGGTGGTAAATATATAGAATTCCAAAAACTATACATAATATACTTGGTATCATTGTTCAGCCGTAAGTTAAACTTTGTCAATGGATTGGATGCTGTTCTATGTTGTACGTATAGGTCAGTACATTCAATTATAGGCATGGATCGCTTTATTGAAGAATTCAACAGTTTACCAAGTTTGTTCAGTAGCATGACTCTTAAAGAGCGATGTAGATTAAAAATACGTTCTACTTTGGGAGTTCGTGTTAATTTCGAAGCACTAATGGAGAACTTGGGATTACCAAGACGTCTTTTGGAATATATTGTGAATGGAATTCATCAAGATACCCCAGCATATATACATACTAACAGGGAATGATTTTTCCAAGCGCTTAAAGATCCCAGTTGGAAACCGATCTAAAAGTAGGCGTAGTACCACTGTAAGGGTAACTTGCCTTCATACTGCATGGTGTCTTAATTTACCCGTTTAGAAAGTAATCTTTATAATATGTAATTATCTTAATCTTCATAGCCCAATGATCTCATAATGTTATTACAAGTATGTCCGTTTGTTATGTATTATGGTAATACGTGACTTAGTTTCTAACCCAAATAGTACAACGCGTTATTTATATATGATTGTAAGTAAATAAAATAAGTTTAAAATTAAGTCAATATTATTTCCAGTAATAGAAGAATTTAGAGTCACAAAGAAGATGTATAATGACAAAGTTGTTAACTATTATTCATTTCAAAATTTAAAATTCTGAATTGATAGTTCTATTGTCATAGTGTGCAACAAACATAATTTATATTTTTGAGGTATACTAACAATTAAATTCCGTCTTCATTAGCCCAGTTCGGAGCAGAACAGTAGGACGTTAAACCCCATTTCATTTCTAACAATTAATTAATTTAATTAAAGCTTAACCCATTAGGTTGCTTTCAAATTGATAATCCATGCGATCCCGTTAAACTGCGGTTGTTACCATGTCTTTGGGTTATAATGCACTCCATTAGAAAAGGATTGCATTCTTTAGTACGCACGCTCATCAAATCTATGATAACCAAAATTAGCATAAAACCCCAGAAAGTCAAGAGGCGTTATCATTATAACCTATTGAAACATTAAAGACATTATGTGTTAACAACCTATTCTTATTATATTGGTAAACATTGCGAGAACAAGTCACAAATACCCTAAGGGTGCGTCGCATTGCCCTAGACAAAATAGGGGCACGTTCTCTCTGTGAAGGAAAGTAACGTAATCACAAGATATACGCGTGATATACAAAAATATGCTATTTGAAAACATGCATTTGAAAAATTTATTCCCGCGGGCTGTTTACTGATTTTATACATATTTTTGTTTCAAATTATTTTTTATGTCTTTTTACATTGTTTTTTTTAACTCTTTTATGGAACCTGTTTTATTTTACTTGGTTATTGTTAAGCGCATCTGAACATTTCGGTGAAAGGGGTGCTATATAAATGTATTAAATAATATTAATATTTGAAAAGAGTTCATTAAATTGAATACTCCAATTCGACTATGTACATTAAACCCCCTTTTCTAAATGAAACCGTCCAAATAATGACCCGAGGACATTTGAGTAGTTTAATATAGCCTGCGTAGAAAAACATTGTAAAGAGAATAAGACACCCAGTGTAGTGATGATAAGGTGAAGGTCATCAAACGACAAGAAAGACGATTTCCAACGGTGTTTAGCGAGTTGTGCAATAATCAAAACAACAGAGTCAGAAGATAGTTTAATTTGCGAACGAAATAATTCCTAAGGTGGGGAGGGAGAGAAAGAGATAATGTACCCGATAATGTTCCTAGTTAAAGCATCAGTCACCTTACTGGCGGTCATCAATTGTTCAGGTAAGAATATGTACTATGGTGGAATGTACATCGATATCATTGGCTTTGCTCGGTGTTGCATGAAGGGGCAATGTTGGTTTCAGCCATTATTACATACATCTGGTTAAACACGTTCCAAATACAGTTTTAACACAGAGATCGTTGCTACGGTAGATGCGCTATGAATATTTAAAGGCTCAATACCACTCTTGTTGTAACTGAATAATATGTCCCAATCTTTATTCTGGTCAACAAATTGTACTATTTTACAAAATTCCAATTAATGGATGATACAAATTTCATCTTAACACACCTTATTTAAAAATTTTGAAAAATTCAACATAATGGTTTGAAAAGTCTAACGTAAACCTTTTCAAATGAAACTTCGATTTAAAAATATTTTCGAACCCTTTGGACAAGTAAAATAGGATGTAATGGATAATTTACACAACAGGTAGGACACTTAAACATCTAGTACTTAGATAGAGATATTATTTATTTTCTGGAGCTTTCAAGCCAGCAAGAGTGTTATTGTCCCTTTAAGGAAACGTAAGAGAGGCAAAAGAAGTGAAAACATGAGTTATCCTTATATATTACTGAAAAATTGAAATGAAATGGGGTTTAACGTCCTACTGTTCTGCTCCTAAACTGGGCTAATAAAGACGGGCATACGCCATACAGTCGATGAGGGAAATTTTGACCGGGCAGCGGCTCTACGGCCTACTCTTATATCGAATTCCAACTACCAAGGGATCTTTACGTGCACGCCAATGTGTACACGGGACCTCGGTTTTTCGTCCCATCCGCACGACTAGACAGCTGTCCTTGTCAGGACCTCCGTCCTGCATCACTGACAAGCGGAAACCATGTCGGAGAATCTAGATGAACTTTCTCGGCCAATGCAGGGATCGAACACCCGACCTCCAGGCTAGCGAGCCAGCGTCTTACCCACTAAGTCACCGTGATCCCCCTATATATTACTGACTGAAGTAACGAGCCAGATACACGGTGGAATTTCATGTCACTGATAAGTCCGCTGAAGACGAATAATTGTTATATGAGACTGTGGGGGGGGGGGGTATCTGACAATTCAAAGAAGGAACAGGGGCATGTCCAGAGGGGGGTGGGGTGGGGCGGGGTCGAGCTCAGCTACATAAAACCCCCTCCTGCAAAAATTCCTGGAGCTGCCCATGAGGAATTGACTGTCACTAGATAAGAGAAAACGAGAAAAATACTGTAGAAAAGGCCCGTGCAATCCCTTGTTTTTATTCATTCTATACTTAATAAACACTTGGCAATGCACGCCATGTCGGAGCAGAAGAGCAGGACGTTAAACCCCCACTCGGCAAACCTCGGTAGATTCTGGTACCCTACATCTAGCTGTAGGGTACTGGAATCTGCTGAGGTTTGCCGAATGGTTAAACCCCTATCATTACACCTGCATTTCCTATCAAGCGTAATGCAGCGTTCGGTTGCAACATGAAGAATCAGGGCAAATTTACCATATGTTGGTCTCCATCCGGTTTCATGTAAATGTAGTGCGGGAAATGACTTGACTTCTTTAATAATTGTTTAAAAAAAAAATAAAAAAACATTAATCCAAACCCTAATAGTAAGTGCAGGAGGACCGTACTACACGCAACACAAAACCTACAAGGTGAAATTGCGGACAAGAGGAAATACATAGACATTGCAAGAAATAAACAACAAATATCAAATCAAGGGAAAGTAGTGCAAAGTGAATTTTTCGCCCCATTGTGATAATATTTTTATTTATTTTCAGGTGTTCATGCTTACTGTGAGAATAACGCAAGTGTAAAGTTATCAAGTTATAAATATAAATATAAAAGTCAGGTAATCGACGATGCTTCTGACATTATTTCAATGACAGTTGACCATAGAATATCTAAAGCAACGTGTGATTATACAGATAGTTATGGTTTCAGAGGAAATAAGGTTTGGGTCGATAATGGTTGTAGAGCAGTTTTCAAGATATGTTATACAAAAGGTAGGTAAACGTCATATTGGGGAGCCGTGGTGGCTCAGTGAGTAATATTATTATGTTTGCTCGCTAAACTGGAGGTCCCGTGTTCGACCCTTGTGTAGACCGAGAAAGTTTATCGGAATTTTCCGACGAGGTTCTCCTCCCTTGTCAGTGATGCGGGATGGAGGGCCTGACGAGGGACAACGTATAGTCGTTCGGATGGGATGAGAAACCGAGGTCCCGTGTACACATTGACAGTTGGAATTCGAAATAAGAGTAGATAATTCCTCATAATAGCACATGATATGACGTATACCCGCAGTCTACATTAGTCCTATCGGTGAATAACAGTGGGATGGTGTATGTTTATTGACAATTTGCAGGCTTGTTTATTAACTCTTCGGAAAGACAAATATCAGTCCAAAAATGGTTCAATTCCGTCCAGTATTTACAAATTCCACCGATCTGTGCTTCACATTATATGTAACACGGCCGCCATCATTAGTTGCTGTGAACCAAATTGATGGGCCCGTGTTAAATCCAATTGAATCTAAGCGGGGAGATTGACGATCGTTGGTATTTTGGGTTTTTTTTCCTGATTAAGTGTTAAATTATTAGCGTGGCTTAAGCCGTGAGAAATTTGATATTTTCCGAAAAATGCAAATGTTACTGAAAATTAACTGAACATTTTGTTCTGAAATAGAATAACTTTATACAATTGACGTTAATAAACCCCACAAGAGTCCTCTATTGCATGTTATTCTCTGGCATAGTGAAGATATGCAATTGTTAAAGGGGGGTAACTACACTAAGTATGAGATTGTATAGACTGCCAATTATCAATTATGACAGGACACATACCCAATACGGCATCGTCTTGTGGAGACGATACCACCTGCGTAACCACTTGGCTACCACCTTTTCATTTTATGTAGAGTTTTGAAAGATTCCGTTCGTATCTTTCAGATGCTGGTGCCTATTGTCAACATAAAACTAGTTTAAGATTATCAAGCAATGGATATCAATATGCAAGTCAGATTCTAGACGATGCTGCCATAGTTACATCAATGAGAGTAAGACACCAAATATCTAAAGCGACATGTGATTACGGTGATAGCTATGGTTTTAGAGGAAGCACTATGTGGGTCAATAATGGTTGTAGAGCTATTTTCAGCGTGTGTTTCCGAAAAGGTGCGTATAGAATTTAGCAACACATGTTCTTGAAGCAACAACCGCGAGTTTTACAATATCTATTGCAGATCCCAAACTTATCGCTACGTTATCTCCCTTAAGCACAGACTTGTGAACGATGAAGACATAAACACACTCAAATCAAACATTTAAACCTTGACATTGAACGAACCCCGAACTTTGCAACTCGATTATCACAGGTAAACATTTTAGCTGTATTCGCGATGGTCGAGGAATCTGAAAGGCTCCCCAGTTGAGTCAGTATCCACTCGAAATTAGAGCCGAAATATGCAGGGTATTACGTGAAGGGCTTGATAAAATGTATGATCAAGGGGAGATCAAGCCCTCTATTGAAGATGCTAGTAACAGTGACATGCACGAATCTGTGTTACCCACTGGGCTTACTTTTTACATTTTCTCGAATCTGTGTTACCCACTGAGATTACTTTTTACATTTGCTCGAATCCAGATACTTCTTATCACATTCTCAATTATTGCTCTTGGCTATAAATAATGATGGGGGTCTTACACGCCTGCACGGTATGCTGTCCCAAATATTCTAATCACGTGTTATTCATAACAGCTGTATTCGTATGTATTTTTAACATAATAACCATTAAGCTATCAAGTACATTCGTACAATCTGTATCTGGATTCCACTCATAATTGATCTCCGCGACATAATGTATTAACCTTTTTTGTTAAACATACATTATGCAGGAGCTAAATCTGCCTATCGCGGGGTCTTTCTTTAGGCCTGAAATGTTATCTAAATTATTAATTAGACATTAATTAACTTATCTAGACCATAATCAACTCTCGATGTCATCCCTAGCCTGCGATATTTACTGGATTACGATCAGATTTGCTGTTCAATTTTCGTTCATGATTTAATCATGAAATGGATAATCGAGACTATGTTTTTTATCGTACCGACTTTAGTAATGGTGATCGAGGCAAGGCCGAAAATACAATTGCTAAAATCTCGGTTCAGAGTGGATCAATTTGACTGAAATTTTCAGCAAATTCTTTTTACATTATCTGGTTTTTAACTATTATAGTGAGAAATGCCAGCTCTTTATATAATCTCCCATAATGTATTTTTTAATTCGAATGCGGACATTGTGTTTTAGCCTTTATGTAAAATCATTTGGATGCTGAGATGGTTTATTATTTTAAACACCAATTAACGATGATTTTCATGTTATTATAAAAATACACATTATTGCTACCAAATATCATCTTTTTCTAGGGACTTCAGTGACTGTTGAGTGTAGCAGCAGAGATTATAAACCTAAAGTTTGTAAAATACCTACCAACGGTGGAAGAGTACTCTCGGTTGTACCAGAAAAACATAAGTCTAGATCACCATGCCTTCCTGGAGATAGTTATTTCCATACCGATAAAGTTATCAGGGTCACCAATGGTTGTCGCGCGGTATTTCGAGTAGGGATTAAAAATTAAAGTCGTCATCTATTTTTAGACATTCTCTTGGCATAACCGTGGTCTGTAGCATATTCTTACTTCCCGTAGCCAAAACAGCTAAACTGACGAAAACCCGAGAACCCGAGTACACATTGGCATGCAACTAAACGAAGCATTTAGAGTTGGAGCGGTTCGAGCCAAAAATAGGACATTAAACCCCATCTCATTCAGTCATTGCTTTGGTCCATGGTTAGTAATGAAACTATGTTACAAAATTGGAATGAAATGGGGTTTAACGTCCACTTAGGCCAGTGTGTACACGGGACATCGGTTTTTCGTAACCATCCGAACAACTAGACAGCTTTCCGTGTTAGGCCCTCCGCCCTGCACCACTGACAAGGGGACGGTGTAACTACGCCGCGATCTCCAGGCTAGCGAACCAGGGTCATACCCACTTAGCCACCGTGTCTCCCGAGATGTTACAGATACGAATATATCAATATGTTGAATCGTGTCCTATTTTATAGATAACGCGATATATATTTGCAATTTTTAACTTGTGTTCAAATGTTTGTGTTCATACAACCGGCTAATTAGGTTTGTACATTAAGATATATATATACACATGTATATTTTAATTTTGTAGATTATAATCAAATTCTTTTTTAAAAAAATCTTTTTTTGTAATTTTCTTTGTATTATTTTATCATGAAATAAAAGAAAAGTGTGCTTGATCTTTGTGTTAAATACTCTCTGATGCATGCATTTCCATACAAGATGTCTTCATGTAGGTTTTGAATCTGGATTTATTTTGTTATTACTATATGTACTCTGTGTGCACCTCGTGGCCAATTACATGTTCTTATCCATCCACCATAAGCAAACAGTCGCCGTGTAATGACATTGCAGCAACTTCTTTAATATTTTTTTTATGCAGAGGTTGTGTGAAAGTACATTTTTAACCAAGATGATTTAATCTGCATTAATTTGGTTATAACAAAATGTATCCTCTCCGTGACTGTTTATTCGGTCTTTTCATCCACCATAAACAAAACGTACTGGAATAATGACACCCCAGCAACTACTGGATCTCATCTTTTGCATCCACTATAAACAAAAGATGTTGCAGATCTTCCCTTTCCATCACCTGCAATGGTGTGGTAAAGTAGTAAGTAAAACCTGCGTAGTTTGGGACAATAGACTTCTTGATTGAAAACAAGAGAAAGGGTTTAAAATTATCTAAATTTATTCTATTGTTCTAAATAACAAGTGGATAAGGCACAAGTTTTATAACTTAGAACATCTCATCTCCAATATATACATTTACATAAAAAAATAATCATATTCGAAAACATTACATTTGTAATCAGATCTTTTTTTGCATATTTGAGTATGAAGAAAAGACAAAACAAATAGTAAAGTAAATGTAGAAAACTATGTGAATTTTAATTTTATCATAATTTTAAAGTATACTTTAAATTATTTCAATTTAATTATGTCACGAAACAAACAGACCCTATCAGTTCACGTGTACTTAGTGGATTAACTGTGCACTATATATTTTCATAAGTGAACTTAGAATATAAATTCCAGGTAGGTAAGTATAATTAAAATATTTTACAGCATTTTTATATTGTGTCCCAGATTCGTGACACAAATAACAAAGATGTGTGATCGTCCAACGATCCCAGTAACTATCTAGTATAAACAAATAATTATAGGTGACTATTTATTGCAAAAAATTCACACAAATACATTATTTGAATTTGTAATATATCGGGGGATCACGTGGATAAGTGGGTAAGACGCTGGCTCGCTAGCCTGGAGGTCGGGTGTTCGATCCCTGCATTGGCCGAGAAAGTTCATTCAGATTTTCCGGCGTGGGTTCCGCTTGTCAGTGATGCAGGATGGGGGGCCTGACAAGGACAGCTGTCTAGTCGTTCGGATGGGACGAAAAACCGAGGTCCCGTGTACACATTGGCGTGCACGTATAAGATCCCTTGGCAGTTGGAATTCGATGTAAGAGTAGGCCGTAGTGCCGCTGCCCGGGCAAAATTTCCCTCATAGCACACTGTATGGCATATGCCCGTCTTCATTAGCCCAGGTTAGGAGCAGAACAGTAGGACGTTCAACTCCATTTCATTTTGTAATATATCATTAAGAACACTACGCACGTTAGTTTTAAAGTTTAGTAATTCACTGCCATATAGAGCAGGTTCAACCTAGCTGAAAAGCTAACAAATTTCTATATATGCCACTAGGTTCCCTATGGGTCACTGTCACAGGATATGCACGTCTGCCGTGCCCGTTGTGGTGGGT